CCTGGAAAAAATCATAAGGAAGCTCACGAGATGAAACTCCGCCGCCACGAGGCGGAACCTTGGCGGAACCAATCTAGGACTCCGGCGGAGCTGTTCTGCCGGGGAAACTTCCCTCCGGGAGGGGGAAATCATCACCATCATCATCACCAACGATCCTCTCAACGGGAGGGGGTCAATCTGCACCAACATCTTCACTAGCACCATCTCCTCTCAAACCCTAGTTCATCTCTTGTATCCAATCTTGTATCCAAAACCACAAATTGGTACCTGTGGGTTGCTAGTAGTGTTGATTACTCCTTGTAGTTGATGCTAATTGGTTTACTTGGTGGAAGATCATATGTTCAGATCCTTTATGCATATTAATACTCCTTTGATTATGAACATGAATATGCTTTGTGAGTAGTTCCGTTTGTTCCTGAGGACATGGGTGAAGTCTTTCTATTAGTAGTCATGTGAATTTGGTATTCGTTCGATATTTTGATGAGATGTATGTTGTCTCTCCTCTAGTGATGTTATGTGAACGTCGACTACATGACACTTCACCATTATTTGGGCCTAGAGGAAGGCATTGGGAAGTAATAAGTAGATGATGGGTTGCTAGAGTGGCAGAAGCTTAAACCCTAGTTTATGCGTTGCTTCGTAAGGGGCTGATTTGGATCCATATGTTTCATGCTATGGTTAGGTTTACCTTAATACTTCTTTTGTAGTTGCAGATGCTTGCAATAGGGGTTAATCATAAGTGGGATGCTTGTCCAAGTAAGGGCAGTACCCAAGCACCGGTCCACCCACATATCAAATTATCAACGTATGAACACGAATCATATGAGCGTGATGAAACTAGTTTGACGATAATTCCCATGTGTCCTCGGGAGCGCTTTTCTCATTATAAAAAATTGTCCAGGCTTGTCCTTTGCTACAAAAAGGATTGGGCCACCTTGCTGCACTTTATTTACTTTCATTGCTCGTTACTCATTACAAATTATCTTATCACAAAACTATCTGTTACCTACAATTTTAGTGCTTGCAGAGAATACCTTACTGAAAACTGCTTGTCATTTCCTTCTGCTCCTCGTTGGGTTCGACACTCTTACTTATCGAAAGGACTATGATAGATCCCCTGTACTTGTGGGTCATCAGGGCACGCCCCCACCCTCGTGGGTGGTGTGTGGCCCCCCTCAGGTATTTCTTCCGCTGAATATTTTTTATTAATTACCAAAATGACTTTCGTGGAGTTTCAGGACTTTTGGAGCTGTGCAGAATAGGTCTCCAATATTTGATCCTTTTACAGCCCAGAATCCCAGCTGCCGGCATTCTCCCTCTTCATGTAAACCTTCTAAAATAAGAGAGAATAGCCATAAGTATTGTGACATAACGTGTAATAACAGCCCATAATGCAATAAATATCGATATAAAAGCATGATGCCAAATGGACGTATTAAATATGTAGGAACCAATATGAGCATCCAGGTTCCGCTATTGGTTATTTACCGGAAGTGAGTCTCAGTCATGTCTACATAGTTCTCAAACCCGTAGGGTCCACACACTTAACGTTTGATGACGATCGATATTATGAGTTTATGTGTTTTGATGTACCGAAGGTTGTTAAGAGTCTCGGATGTGATCACGGACATGACGAGGAGTCTCGAAATGGTCGAGACATAAAGATTGATATATTGGAAGGCTATGTTTGGACGCAGGAAAGGTTCCGAGTGGTTCGAGCATTTTTTCCGGAGTACCGGGAGGTTATCGGAACCCCCCGGGGAGTTAATGGGCCTTAATGGGCCATGGTGGAAGAGAGGAGGAGGCGGCCAAGGTGGGGGCACCCCCCCCCACCCCCAAGCCCAATACAAATTGGGAGGGGGGCCGGGCCCTCTTTCCTTCTCTCCCTCTCCCTCTTCCTTCTTCTCCTACTCCAACTAGGGAAGGGGGAAACCTACTCCTACTGGGAGTAGGACTCCCCCCTTGGGCACGCCATAGAGAGGGCCGGCTCTCCCCTCCTCCAAAATATACGGGGAGGGGGGCACCCCATAGACACACAAGTTGATTGTTTAGTTGTGTGCGGTGCCCCCCTCCAGAGATTTCCACCTCGCTCATATCGGTGTAGTGCTTAGGCGAAGCCCTGCATCGATAACTTCATCATCACCGTCATCACGCCGTCGTGCTGACGAAACTCTCCCTCGACCTCAGCTGGATCTAGAGTTCATGGGACATCACCGAGCCGAACGTGTGCAGATCACGGAGGTGTCGTACCATCGGTGCTAGGATCGGTCGGATCATGAAGACGTACGACTACATCAACTGCGTTGTCATAACGCTTCCTCTTTCGGTCTACGAGGGTACGTAGACAACACTCTTCCCTCTCCTTGCTATGCATCACCTAGATAGATCTTGCGTGATCGTAGGAATTTTTTTGAAATTACTGCACTACCCAACACGAGCCCCCTTCCCTAGTCCAATTGAGTTTGGATAGGGGGGCGCCACCTCCTGGCCGCCGGCCTCCTCTGTCCACTAAGGCCCATGAAGGCCCAATACTCCCCCGGGGGGTTCCGGCAACCTCCCAGTACTCCAAAAAATGTCCGAACCTCTTCGAAACTATTCTGGTGTCTGAACCTCTTCGAAACTATTCTGGTGTCCGAACATAACCTTCCAATATATCAATATTTACCTCTCGACCATTTCAAGCCTCCTTGTCATGTCTGTGATCTCATCCGGGACTCCGAACAAACTTCGGTCATCAAAAAACATAACTCATAATACAAATCGTCATCGAACGTTAAGCGTGCGGACCCTACGGGTTCGAGAACTATGTAGACATGATCGAGACACATCACCAATCAATAACCAATAGCGGAACCTGGATGCTCATATTGGCTCCTACATATTCTATGAAGATCTTTATCGGTCAAACCATACAACAACATACATTTTTCCCTTTGTCATCGGTATGTTACTTGCCCGAGGTTCGATCGTCGGTATCTTCATACCTAGTTGAATCTCATTACCGACAAGTCTCTTTACTCGTTCCGTAATGCTTCATCCCGCAACTAACTCATTAGTCACATTGCTTGCAAGGCTTATAGTGATGAACATTGCCAAGAGGGCCCCGAGTTACCTCACCGATACGCGGAGTGAGAAATCCTAATCTCGATCTATGCCAACCCAACAAACACCTTCAGAGACACCTGTAGAGCATATTTAAAATCACCCAGTTACGTTGTGACGTTTGATTACACACAAGGTGTTCCTCTGGTATTCGGGAGTTGCATAATCTCATAGTCAGAGGAACATGTATAAGTCACGAAGAAAGCAGTAGCAATAAAACTTAAGGATCATTATGCTAAGCTAACGGATGGGTCTTTTCCATCACATCATTCTCTAGTGATGTGATCCCGTTCATCAAATGACAACACATGTCTATGGTCAGGAAACATAACCATCTTTGATTAACGAGCTTGTCAAGTAGAGGTATACTAGGGACACTTTGTTTTGTCTATGTATTCACACATGTACTAAGTTCCGGTTAATACAAAACATTTATCATGATATAAGGAAATATAAATAACAACTTTATTATCGCCTCTAGGGCATATTTCCTTCATTATCACTGTAATACCCCCCCCTCCCCAATTACAGTACTCGACCCCTTGAAGTGTAATTCCCCCAGTATTTTCCCTTGCTTTGTAGTCTATATTGTCTCTCTGATTCACATTGTAATACCCCCTGTTCTACACTGTAAATTATTTTTTTCTGAATTTCTATTTGATGTATCCCTGATTTAGACTGTATTTCCCCTAGTTTCATTGTCGTTCTTTATGCCTGATGAATAATATAATGTATCCCTGAAGTTCACTTTAGTATGTTTGACTTACATTTGTATAGTTGATTTATTGTATTTGTGGTAGGGCTTGCACTGTAATTCCCTAGAGTTTTATAATGCAATTAGCATGTTTGAGTAATTCACTTTCAATGTAAATCATTAGGGTTTTTCAATGTATTTCCCTAGAGTTTTATACTGCAATTAGCATGGTTTGAGGACTGTAATTGTGGTAGGGCTTACACTATAAATCACCAGAGTTTTACAGTGTATTTCCCAATAGTTTTACACTATAACCATAGGGCTTGCACTATATACCACCAGAGTTTTACAGTGTATTTCGATATAGTTTTACATTGTAATATGTATGGTTACAATGTAATTCCCTAGAGTTTTTCACTGTAATTTGTATGGTTTGAGGACTTTAATTTTTGTATGACTTACAATGTAATTCATCAGAGTGTTACACTCCATTTCCCTAGATTACACTGTAAATTTGTATGTTTGAGGACTATAATTTCAGTATGACTTACAATGTAATTCACCGAAATTTTACACTATATTTTTCCAAGAGTATTACACTGTAATTTCTGTGCTTGAGGACTGTAATTTCAATATGACTTACAATGTAATTCATCAAACTTTTAAACTGTATTTCCCTAGAGTATTACACTGTAATTTGTGTGCTTGAGGACTGTAATTAAAGTATGACTTACAATGTAATTCACCAAACTTTTACATTGTATTTTCCCTAGAGTATTACACTGTAATCTGTGTGCTTGATGACAATAATTACAGTATGACTTACAACGTATTTCTCCAGAGTTTTATAGTGTATTTTCCTAGAGAATTTCACTGTAATTTGAGTTAATGAGGATTGTAATTAAAGTATGACATGCAGGGCTTGCAGTCTCAAGTTTTGTACATGCGTTTAATATTCAGATGTCTGGTTTGTGGTTTTGTAGCTTCTATAGATATAGTTCTAGGGATTGTTGATTGTAGTGTTTGTGTTGATTCTGCTTCATTTGCCTAATGATTTTTGCCTTTGTGATTTTAGGTTTGCTTTAAAGGGGAGGCTGCGGAAAGTTTCTCACAAGGATGTACCACTAGTCTCTTCTCTTGAAAGTGCAGATTCTCTGAATGATCCGTTTGTGCCTAATGGTTTTGCGATGATGGTTCTAATCCTATGCCTTCAGTATTTATTTCTTTTTCTTCCCTAGTTTTAATTAATTTGAACTATTTATTTTGATTTTTAATGTGTATTTCACTTCAACTTTATTTCAGGAAATCTCTAGTGATGATGGAGGGCTTCACAAATCTCAGATGTCTACTATGCAACTTTATTCTTGTAGACACGTGTTGGGCCTCCAAGCGCAGAGTTTTGTAGGACAGTAGTAATTTTCCCTCAAATGGATGAAATAAGGTTTATAAATCCGTGAGAGGTGTAGGATGAAGATGTCTCTCTCAAATGACCCTGCAACCAAATACAAGAAATCTCTTGTGTCCCCAACACACCCAATACAATGGCAAATCGTATAGGTGCACTAGTTCAACGAGGAGATGGTGATAAAAGTGTAGTATGGATGGTAGAAATATATTTTTATAATCTGAATAAATAAAAACAGCAAGGTAGCAAATAGTAAACGGGCACAAAAACGGTATTGCAATGCTTCAAAATGAGGCCTAGGGTGCATACTTTCACTAGTGCAGTCTCTCAACAATGCTAACATTGTTGGATCATATGATTATCCCTCAAAGTGCAACAAAGAATCACTCCCGAATTCCTATTAGCGGAGAACAAAAGATAGAAATTATTTGTAGGGTACGAAACCACCTCAAAGCTATTCTTTCCGATCGATCTATCCTAGAGTTCATACTAAAATAACAGCAAGCTATTCTTTCCGATCGATCTAATCAAGAGTTCGTACTAAAATAACACCATATGACACATATCAACCAACTCTAATGTCACTTAGATACCCTGATGTCACCGCGAGTACCTGTGAGTTAATTATATGATATGTATCAAACAATTTCAGATTCATAATGGTCAATCCAACACAAAGAACTACAAGGGGACCCCCAAAGTTTCTATCGGAGAAAAGATAATAAAAACATGCATCAACCCCTATGCATAGATTATCCCAATGTCACCGCGGGAATCCTCAATTTGAGTGCCATAACATATATCAGGTGAATCAATATGATACTCCATTGTCACCTCAAGTATTCATATGGCAATACATACATCATTTGTTTTCAGATCTGAACATTCAATCCGACAAGACAAAACTTCAAAGGGTAAAGACTCAATTCATCACAACAAGAGTAGAGAGGGAAGAAACATCATATGATACATCTACATTAACAAAGACCGCGATACATCAAGATCATGACATCTCAAGATCACGAGAGAGAGAGAGATTAAACACATAGCTACCGGTACAAACCCTCAACCCCGAGGGTGGACTACTCCCTCCTCATCGTGGTGGCCGCCGGGATGATAAAGATGGCCACCGGTGATGATTCATCCCTTCGGCAGGATGCTGGAACGGGGTCTAGATTGGATCTCATGGATACAAAGGCCTTGCAGCGGCGGAACTTCTGGTCTAGGGATACCCTAAAGGGTTTAAGAATATTTGGGAATTTATAGTGCAAAGAGGGGGTGCGGGAGGCCACCGAGGTGGGCACAACCCACCTAGGCGCACCAGGGGGCCCTGGCGTGCCCTGGTGAGTTGTGCCCCCCTCGGGGCACCCCCCAGGTGCAGCTCAGGCCCATTGGGTTCCTACTGGTCCAAAAAAAAATCTCCAAAAAGTTACGCGGTGTTTCGACTCCGTTTGATATTTATTTCCTGCGATGTAAAAAACAGCAACTGGCACTAGGCACTGGGTCAATGGTTAGTCCCAAAAAATGATATAAAGTTGCTATAAAATGATTGTAAAACACCCAAGAATGATAAAATAACAGCATGAATACTTCATAAATTATAGATATGTTGGAGACATATGAGCATCCCGAAGCTTAATTCCTACTCGTCCTCGAGTAGGTAAATGATAAAAGAAATAATTTATGAAGTGTGAATGCTAGCAAAGTGCATAAGTTTGATCAATGATAATTTCAATTACTTTTTCTAGCATCATAACAACAATTCTTTCTCATAAAACTTCTCATGTTATTGTAGCAACCAATTCATATGTTAAGGTTCAAGCAATGAACTCTCTTGAAACTCAACAACCTATGTTCTCAGTCACCAAGCAACTGCAATTCAACTTATTCAACAGAGTCTAAGTAAGAGCTTCACATACTCAACCATCTTATAGTCTTCTATGATTGCTAACACTCACCGCATACACATGATCAAAACATTTCAACCAGACACATAGAAAGATAGGGGCTTATAATTTCGCCTCCCAACGTATTCACCTTTGGGTGATGTCAACAATAATAACTCATGCTACCCATATTCAACTGGACATATGTGCCTAGATCTTTCATCACCACATGCTGCTTGCCAAAGGAGAAAAATAAAAAGGAATAGAGAGAAAAAACTTTGACTCTTTGCATAAAAGTAAATATTGAAAAGTAAAAGATAGGCCATTCACAGAGGGAAGCAGAGGTTGCCATGCACTTATTTGTTTGTATGCTCAATCCCTTAGTGCAAAAGAACGTCATGTTATATTGCCCCTTATGATAGCAACCTTTATTATGCAGTCTGTCACTTTTATTCTTTGCCATCACAAGTACACACAACGCTCAGTTTTCTCTTACACTAAATGATCTAACACTTTTAGAAGCAATTTGTATTGCCTTATTGCACCGATGACAACTTACTTGAAGGATCTTGCTCAATCCTTAGGTAGGTATGGTGGATACCTGAAAATAAGATTTGGGTTTAAGGGTTTTTGGATGCACAAGTAGTTTCTCTACTTGGTGCGAAATTTTTGGATATCAAAGATGGGGGGCAAGCACCACATGTTGAAGGATCTATGACAATATAACTTCTATGTGAATATGAACAAACATAAATCATTACGTTGTCTTCCTTGTCCAACGTCAACAATTTTGACATATAATATTTTGATGGGGCTCACACTGACAAAAGATTTCCATGATAGTGTATTTGCATGTGAAAGTTCTCTTCCTTCTACTAATTATTCGTGAATTGCTTGTATGACCAATATTGTGATTGTCAAGCCTCAAAATATTTCACTTTCTAAACCCAATGTGAAGCTACCACTAGGCATGATATGATTTTAACTTCATGGCATTCAATTTATTCAACAATTTACTCGTAGGATATAAGTGAAGCACAAGAGTAAATGACAAGCTACTCCAAAAAGATATAAGTGAAGATCATGAGCATAATATTTCTTTCTCTCAAATTAATTTAAGTTAAGTAAGAGATAATTTCTTCAAAAATACTAAAGCACACCATGCTCAAAAAGATATAAGTGAAGCACGAGAGCAATTCCATAGAAAAGAGCTTCATTGACGGGATGTGAATGCCACTTACTTAGCCTCCTATTTGAGGACTCTATTTTATTTTAAAAAATTCAGTTCTAATTATTTTATGAAAACATCAAGCAAAATGAAAATAGAATGACATTCTAAGAATAGCACAACTCATGTGAAGAAGCAAAAACTTAGGCTCAACCATACTAACCGATAATTGTAGATGAAGAAAGGTGGGATGCCTACCCGGGAATCCACGAGCTTAGATGCTTGAGACTTCTTGAAATATTATTTTGGGATGCCTTGGGCATCCCCAAGCTTGAGCTTTTGGTGTCTCCTTAGTTCTTCTCATATCACGGTTTTCCTAAATCTCAAAAGCTTCATCCACACAAAACTCAACAAGAACTTGTGAGATAAGTTAGTATAAACCAATGCAAAAACCTTATCATTCTCTACTGTAGAAAACCACAAAAATTATTATTCAACATTGCATACTAAATTCATCTGCATATTTAATACTACTATCCTCAAATAGAATCATAAACAAGCAAACATATGCAAACAATGCAAACATAACAGCAATGTGCCAAAACAGTACAGTCTGTAAAGAATGCAAGAGTATCAATACTTCCCTAACTCCAAAAATTATGAAACAAACTCCAAACTGTATAAAATTTATCAGAGATTATTTTTAAAAAAGTTTAAATATTTTATCATATTCTGACTTTTCTAGGGAATTTTTGCAACATCGATAACCTTTCTGTTTTGAAACAGCAACATGTAAACTTGCAAAATAAGCATGGCAAACGCTATCATAGCCACTTTTATTAAAATAAAAGATGCAAAACATTATTCTAAATTACAGCAAGAAAATCCTAGCAAAATAAATTGATGCTCCAAGCAAAACACATATCATGTGATGAATGAAAACATAGCTCCAAGTGAGGTTACCGATAATGTTGGAGACGAAAGAGGGGATGCCATCCGGGGCATCCACAAGCTTAGTTTCTTGGATATTCCTTGAATATTACCTTGGGGGTGCCTTGGGAATCCCCAATATTAGGGTCTTGTCACTCCTTATTCTCCTCATATCGACATCTCACCCAAAACTTGAAAACTTCAATCACACAAAACTTAACGGAACCTTGTGAGATAGGTTAGCATGATAAAGAGCAAACCATTTTACTTTTGGTACTGTCAAAGACAAGATTCATAATTGTTTCCACACAATGCCTACTGTATCAAATCATTTCCACAATTTATATTGAGCAATATAAGCCATAGAAAGAAGGAAACACGCAAAGTGTGCATTGAAAACATAATCTATCAAAAATAGAACAGTCTGTAGTAATCTGTACTCGAACCATACTTCTGCTACTCCAAAAGTTATGAAAAAAATTTGTAACACATGAGAAATTTGTATATAAATATTTTGCAAAAAGAATCAACTCAAAATTACTCTTCTGTTAAAAATGAGAGCTATTTTCGTGAGCGCAAGAGTTTCTGTTTTTCAGCAAGATCAAATCAACTATCACCCAACATGATCCCAAGGGCTTTACTTGGTACTTTATTGAAACAAAAGCTATAAAACATGATTACTACAGTAGCATAATGATGTGAACATACAAAAAAAGTTGGTAAAAGTGTTGGGTTGTCTCCCAACAAGCGCTTTTATTTAATGCCTTTTAGCTAGGCATGACGAGTTCAATGATGCTCGCATAAAAGATAAGAATTGAAACATGAAAAATAGCATCATGAATCAGATGGCAAGCACATTTAAGCCTAACCCACTTACCATTCATATGGATTTTGTGAGCAAATAATTCATGGGAACAAGAATCATCTAGCATAGGAAGACAAAACAAGCAATACTTCAAAACTTTCAACACATAGAGAGGAAACTTGATATTATTGAGATATGTAAAAACATATGTTCCTCTCTCATAGTAATTTCAGTAGCTCATGAATGAATTCAACAATATAACTATCACATAAAGCATTCTTTTCATTATCCACAGGCATAGAAAATTTATTACTCTCCACAGAAGCAAATTTTCTTCTCATTAATAGTAGTGGGAGCAAACTCAACAAAATAACTATCATGACAGTGAACATTCAAATCATGATGACAAGTTTCATGGTTATCATTATTCTTTGTAGCATATATGTCATCACCATAATCATCATAGATAGCAACCTTGTTCCCATAGTCAATTGAAGCCTCATCCAAAATGGTGGATTCATCACTAAATAAAGTCAGGACCTCATCGAATCCACTTTCATCAATAGAATCATCATAAATAGGAGGCATGCTTTATCATAATAGATATTCCCATCAAAACTTGGGGGCTAAAAATATCATCTTCAACAAACATAGCATCCCCAAGCTTATGGCTTTGCATATCACTAGCATCATGGATATTCAAAGAATTCATACTAACAACATTGCCATCATGCTCATCATTCATGCCAAACATTTTATAGCATTCTTCTTCAAACAATTGAGCACAACTTGCCGTTCCATCATTTTCAAGAAAGATATTATAAAGATGATCAATAATATGATGCAACCTTAATTCCATTTTTTTGTAGTTTTCTTTTATAAACTAAACAAGTGATAAACAATAAACTAAAAGATCCAATTGCAATATCTAAAGATATACCTTCAAGCACTCACCTCCTCGGCAATGGCGCCAGAAAAGAGCTTGATGTCTACTATGCAACTTTATTCTTGTAGACACGTGTTGGGCCTCGAAGTGCAGAGTTTTGTAGGACAGTAGCAATTTTCCCTCAAGTGGATGACCTAAGGTTTATCAATCCGTGAGAGGTGTAGGATGAAGATGGTCTCTCTCAAACGACCCTGCAACCAAATACAAGAAATCTCTTGTGTCCCCAACATATTGTATAGGTGCACTAGTTCGGCGAAGAGATGGTGATAAAAGTGCAATATGGATGGTAGAAATATATTTTTATAATATGAATAAATAAAAAGAGCAAGGTAGAAAATAGTAAACAAGCACAAAAACGGTATTGCAATGCTTGAAAATGAGGCCTAGGGTGCATACTTTCACTAGTGCAATCTCTCAACAATGCTAATATAGTTGGATCATATGATTATCCCTCAAAGTGCAACAAAGAATCACTCCCGAGTTCCTATTAGCGGAGAACAAAAGATAGAATTTTTTTGTAGGGTACGAAACCACCTCAGAGCTGTTCTTTCCGATCGATCCATCCTAGAGTTTGTACTAAAATAACAACAAGCTATTCTTTCTGATCGATCTAATCAAGAGTTCATACTAAAATAACACCATATGACACATATCAACCAACTCTAATGTCACCTAGATACCCCAATGTCACCGCGAGTACCCATGAGTTAATTATACGATATGTATCAAACAATTTCAGATTCATAATGGTCAATCCAACACAAAGAACTACAAGGGGACCCCAAAGTTTCTATCGGAGAAAAGATAATAAAAACATGCATCAACCCCTATGCATAGATTACCCCAATGTCACCGCCAGAATCCGCAAGTTGAGTGCCATAACATATATCAGGTGAATCAATATGATACTCCGTTGTCACCTCAAGTATTCATACGGCAAGACATACATCATGTGTTTTCAGATCTGAACATTCAACCGACAAGACAAAACTTCAAAGGGTAAAGACTCAATTCATCACAGCAAGAGTAGAGAGGGGAGAAACATCATATGATTCATCCATATTAACAAAGCCTGCGATACATCAAGATCATGACATCTCAAGATCACGAGAGAGAGAGAGAGAGAGAGAGATTAAACACATAGCTACCGGTACAAACCCTCAGCCCCGAGGGTGGACTACTCCCTCCTCATCGTGGTGGCCGCCGGGATGATGAAGATGGCCACCGGTGATGATTCCCCCCTTTGGCAGGGTGCTGGAACGGGGTCTAAATTGGATCTGCTGGATACAGAGGCCTTGCAGCCGCGGAACTTCTGATCTAGGGCTACCCTGAAGGATTTCGGAATATTTGGGAATTTATATTGCAAAGAGGGAGTGCTGGAGGCCATCGAGATGGGCACAACCCACCTGGGCGTGCCAGGGGGCCCTGGCGCGCCCTGGTGGGTTGTACCCCCCTCGGGGCACCCCCAGGTGTAGCTCAGGCCCATTGGGCTCCTTCTGGTCCAGAAAAAATCTCCAAAAAGTTACGCGGTGTTTGGACTCCGTTTGATATTGGTTTTCTGGGATGTAAAAAAGAAGCAAAAACAGCAACTGGCACTGGGCACTGGGTCAATAGGTTAGTCCCAAAAAATGATATAAAGTTGCTATAAAATGATTGTAAAACACCCAAGAATGATAAAATAACAGCATGAATACTTCATAAATTGTAGATACGTTGGAGACGTATCATTCTCTATTTGACTTCTATATGGATCATGTATGTGTTTTTGTTTTTGTTGGCTTAACTTTAAGTGTTTTTTTTCTGATGGCTTATAATTTGTAGTCATCCTAATATTTTCAGAAAGTGAAATGCTTAAAGAGGAAGTTATCATGTGTTGGAAGAAGAAACATGGTTAGTCCTTTTTTGATATTGATCTCTCTCTACACTTTATTTTGTTTTATTCTCTATTGGTTGCTAAATTTTCCCCAAATGCACTATTATAGTCATGTATTTGTAATGCATTTCTCCTTTGTTTTTGTAGAAACTGAAGTTGTCTACTGATTTCCCTGCTTGTTCTACTTTCACTAGATATTCTGGGAAGTTTTTCTCAGGTGTCGTCGATGGTTTGTGTCCAAGGTATAAGGATGTCATTGAGAATTATGGCATCAGTTGTCTTCTTAGTTTTGTGAGGACTAAGGTCCCTCTTAGGCTTGTCAAGTGGCTTGCGTGTAGATTTGATGTCCCTTCCTCTAAATTCAAGTTAAAAAGAAAATTTATCCCCCTCACCAAGTATGACATCCAAGGTATCCTTGACCTCCTAGTAGAAGGTGAGCCCCTAGTTTGTGATCCTGAGTCTGGCCATGATTTTATCCTCTCTCATGCCAATCTTACCAGTATTCCTCCAGTGTCCTTTTTCACCAACAAGCTTAAGTCTCTTGAAGTCGAGTTGCCTGATGAGGATGTTTTCATTTGTTTCATGATTGTTGCTTTCTCCTCATTTCTTTGTCCCAACTCTAGCCTCAGTCCTAGCCCAAAGTACCTCCATATATTCAGGGATTGTCGGTCTGTGTGTACCTATGATCTGTCACAGTTTGTTTTGAGTGGCTTTTGAGTAGCGTTAAAACATTTAAGGACTTCACTAAAGTTGCTTCCAAAAGATCAGTGATGTTTGGTGGTTGTCACTATGCTTTTGATGTAAGTTTCCTTTTGTTATTTGCATCTATTTTATTTATTTTGCAATTGTTTGACTCATTTTTTTCCTTTCTAGGTTTCTTCTCTTGACCATCTTAATTTTGGTCTTCACTCAATTTCTGATGTGAAACCTTGGATTCTTGCGTGGAGAGGTAACAAAGTCAAACCGTTTCTAGAGCTTGACAGAAACAATAGCTGCTCTTATGGAAAGAGGCCATTGAAGCGAGCTTGTACTTCATTTAGTTTCCAGGTTAGTTAGTTTTTCTTTCCTTTTTCCTTTTTGCTGCGTGGTTTAGTTTTATATTTCTCATGTACTACTCTATTGTATCAGGGTTCTGTTCAAAAATCCTCAGCAAGTAAGAGTATGGATTTTGATGCATCTAATGTTCCATTTGCTACAAGAGTTCAATCAACTTTTGGTGCTCATTTAGTCTATGAGGTAATTGCTCTTCCTAGTTATTGTTTGTTGCTGCAGTAGTCCTACTGTAATTCTTACTATTTTTATTCATACTGATTATATGTTATTTAGTGGTATTCTAACTCCTTTTATTCTTTCTTTCTTTTTTACAGTTTGATCAGGATCTTGTGGATCTTGTTCAGGCCAGACATCAAGAGAAGCTTAAGATTTTTGTTGAATGGTTAGAGTCTCTCATTGTTGATGTATTGAATAGTGTGTTGCAATCTTCTTTTCTTGCAAACATTCATGCTTCCCCGGAAGTTTCTGGCAATGAGAATCTTTCATGGAGCAAGTTCTCATTTGGTTAGTTTCATCTTTTTTATTTTAGCTTTCATTTTATTTCTCTGTTTTTTTCCTGGTTTGTTCATAATTCATTTGACTGCTGGTTTTTATGTGATTTTGCAGGCAATAAGAGTGTTTCTATTCAATCTGCTATCCCCAATACAAAGTCTACGAGATTTAATGACATTCCAGGGAAGTGGGATCTATTTTGTTTCTTGGGAGGCAAGTTCAAGCGGAGATGTTTAACTGCTCTTTTGCTTCTACTTTTTGTTGTCAGGTGTGGTACAGGGAAGCTGTTGGGAAGGATCGCGTGGGGTTTTCTTGTTCTTTTGGTTTAGTTGACAATTGGGTCTTCTTTTTTTAGCCCGGCCAGTTTAGTGGGAACGAGCAGTATTAGTGGTTTTGGGCAAATACAGATGTCAACAGGACATTGGTAAAAAAACTCGAAGGATATCCAATTGGAAATCAGTCAAATGTCAAATAGACGATCCCTTCTTTTTTCACTTTAGCTAGATGTAAGTTGCGTGAAAATTAAATTTGTGTCAGTCGACTTTTCTGACCGTTGATTGATGCTTCAAGATTCATGTTTTTTTTTGCTATGTGATATGTCTTGTTTTTTTAGAAACACCTGTAACTTTATTCATACTCATAAAAATTACAGATACACTGATTTAGACCTAACATCCAAGAAAATATAAGAATTGCAATGAAATCTCTAAACACATTCTTCGCAGTATGAATCCCTGCTCGAAGAAATACTCCAAAGAGTTCGGTAAAGATGCTGCAATTAGACTGGAGCAGCTATATAGTCACTCTTTCACCTGCACAAACATTACCAATAATGGTTTCTGAAAGTGCCTTGAGTCGCCCATCCAAAAAGATGGGAAGCCTTGATCGATGAACGTACTTGGACCGGTGATGATCCCCTAGAAGTGTAGGCCGCCGGATCACGATATCTTCACTCCGGTGTCGATGAGAGATTTCAACTCCACAAAGAATCAAACCAATAAAAAAAGTTTGACACACCAACGTAAACTCATCAGATCCGAATAATCGGATCTGTGAGGACAGAAAAATCTCTAACCTCATGACTCCATCAAAAGAACGAGAGTAGATTTTATTCTCACACGATGATCACTAGACGATGACCAAGAACATATAACTCTTGAATATGCAAGATCCCCCACCTTGCAGCGCCAAGATGGCAACCGCGAGGGGACCCAAAAATCCTTCGCGGCGGCGGCGACTAGAGCCCTTAATGAACCCTTCACGGCTGCCTTACGTCGGTCAAATTGGGGAGCAACTAGTTCACGAGCACTCCTTCGAGAGCCTCGCAATGATCACTTGCGGGTGGGCTGAGAGCGTGCCACTTGGCGCGTTCTCAGCCACCGCCACATGTCGCGCTCTCAGCCGCCGCCACATGGCACGCTCTGGGTGCTCCCTTTAGATTTTGTTCACACACATTTTCAGCTTTTTAAATAGTTTTTTTGGATTTTTTGAGTTTTTGGTTTTCCACTCGCCTTCTTTAACTTTTGAACCCAAAAAAATTTAGCCACGGTTTTGCTTTCGCGAGAGGCATGGCCGTGCCTCTCGGAAACGGAAAAAAATTTGTTTCTATTTTTTTCTTCCACGAGAGCAGCTTTGCTTCCGTGAGAGGCACGGTTGTACTATCGCGAAAGGCACAACCGTGCCTCTCGGAAATGAAAAAAATGCCTTTTCTGTTTTTCTTTCTTTCAGAGAGGCACGGTTTTGCTTCCGTGAGAGGCACGGTTTGCTTTCGCGAGAGGCACGGCCGTGCTTCTCGGAGACGGAAAAAACGCGTTTTCCGGTTTTTTTGCTTCCGCGAAAGGCACGACCGTGCCTCTTGGAAACAAAAAAAAAAATATGTTTTCTACCTTTTTTTCCTTCTGCGAAAGACACGGTTTTGCTTCCGTTAGAGACACGGTTGTGCTTTTGTGAGAGACACGGCCGTACCTTTTTGGAAAGGGAAAAACCCGTGCTCCTGATTTGTTTTTTTTGTTCGATTTTTCTTGTTCCCTTTTTTTGTGAAAAAAAAGTTCGTCAAAACCTATCAACATGGGCTCTACTTTTGAAGATCTCGGCACGAGGAATCCAACAGCGACAACGGTCCGAGATTTGAGCGTACGCTTTAAGTGATAAAATGCTTTGAATAGACGGATCTACAAAAAAAGGGAAACTCCCTGGTGGCGACAAGTGGCGCACATGCTGCATACCATCTGTCACAACCTGAGGGGTGATCTTTATAAGAAGTACTCTTAATTAGTGATTTGGTCAAATTGGCTGCACGTGTATGTAAGTTACTTGCTTGTCACACGTAGTACGTGCAAGTCTGCAAACGATCATAGATATGTCTGGTTTTGGGCTGGAAATTTCTGATTGACCTCCTAGGTTGCAAAAAGTGGCGCGCTGCATGTGTGCCACTTGCCGCAACCTATGAGTTTTCCCTTTTTTTTATAGATCCATTTATTCAAAACGTTTTATCTCTTAAATCATGCGTCCAAATCTCGAACCGCTTTCACCGTTGGATTCCTCGCGTCGAGATCTTTAAAACTAGATCTCATGTTGACGGGTTTTGATGAATTTCTTTTTTGAAAAAAACGGACGAAAAAACCAAATCGGAAGCACGGTTTTCCCCTTTTCGAAAGAGGCACGCCCGTGTCTCTCACGAAATCACAACCATGCCTCTCGCGAAAGTAAAACCGTGACTCTCGCGGAAGGAAAAAAAGAGAACGCATTTTTTTCCGTTTCCGAGGAGGCACCGTCGTGACTCTCGCGAAAGAAAAAAAATGTGTTTTTTCCATTTTCGAGAGGCATGGTCGTGACTCTCGCGAAAGAACAATCCTGCCTCTTGCGAAAGCAAAACCGTGACTCTCGCGAAAGAAAAAACATATTTTTTTCGTTTCTGAGAGGGACGGTCGTGACTCTCACGAAAGTAGAACCATACCTCTCGCGGAAGCAAAATCGTGACTCTCGCAAAAGAAAAAAAAAGAAAACACGCCTTTTTCCATTTCCGAGAGGCACGGTATGACTCTCGTGAAAGCACAACAGTGCCTCTCGCGAAAGATAAAAAACAGAAAATGCTTTTTTTTCGTTTTCGACAGGCACGGTTGTGACTCTCGTGAAAGAAAAAAAAAGTGTTTTTTTGCGCAAAAAAATGAATTTTTTTTATTGAAAAGCTAAGGAAGACTGGTGGAACCAAAACGTCGAAAAAACCCGAAGAAAACCACTAAAAAGCCAAAAATCCATGCGTAAAAATAAATAAAAAATCTGGAGTGAGCATCCAGAGCGCGACACGTGGAAAATGGATGAGAGCGCGCCAAGTAGCGTTGAATCGCTGCGAGGCTCCCGAAGAAGCGCTGGTGAACTAGTTGCTCTCCCTTTATTTTGGGGCTGTCAATTCCTTAACAGGCTGGCACATTAACATGTGCAACCCAACATGCTCTATGTTGCCCATCTGATGACCAGGTCCTCCCTCTCCCCTTTGTTTTTTCAGTTTTCTGTTTTTATGTGCTTTGTTTTTGTTTTCTGTTATTCTTTCTTAGTCTATTATTATGTTTATTTTTTAGGTTATTTTTGGAATGTTAGGTGAGTGTAAATACATACACGCAAATAGTATACAATGTGTGCAAAAATAGCAATATTATATGATTATTATTTTGCATACCAAAGAGCGCAATTTCAATGCAAATTTGTGAGCAAGTTTACTAAAATATTTTATTACTTCTTAGAGGTAACACCAATGTCACTATTTTGTTCTTCCTTATAAAACCTCTTTGTTTTGATTTTGTTTCAATTTTAGTTTTAATTTTTGTTTCCTTTAAGAGTAATACCAATGCCAATATTTCGTTCTTAGGAAACTCTTTTTTGTGTAGATCATGTGTAAACCATTTCAACTTTTATTCTAGATTTATTTCATTTTATTTCTTCTAAAAGGATAATACCAATGGCACTAATTCATTATTTCTTAGAAACTTTATTATTTTAATTTTGTTTTAGTGTTTTTTCAATTTCTTTCTTCCTAAAGGGTAATATCAATGCGACCAATTCATTATTCTTACAAAAATTCATTATATTGATTTTTTGTTTTGCTTTTGGTTTTATTTTATTTTATCTGTACGGGTAATACCAATGTCACTAATTCATTCCTTCTTACAAAACTT